TTGTAAACTGTCCTGTGATCCTTGGATGAAGGGGTTATAGAAATTTAATAAGTAACAGTAGTAGTAGTAGTAGTAGTAGTAATACCTTCAGCACCTGTGTCTTGAACAGATTCAGTTTACTGGTCCCATTTGGTCCATCACTGCCTCTAAGCATTGCAACAACACCTGCACAGCCTCTCCTAATTCATATGGAATGGAGAGATAAAGCAGAGTGTTTCTAGCACCTCAATGACACTGTACCCCAAATTGCCAGGTTCCTCTCTCCCTTGCTCTGACCAGTGTCGGATGCAGACATGCTGCCACTTTCTGCAGCTTAAGGCACATGCCTGAAGCTTGTTATACTGTAAATATAAGTATTTTGCCTGCATGGTTCTTACTGCTACTGTTGCTGTGAACCAATGCATGGATATAAAGTAAGTAAATCCTATTTTTATACTTACTTCGCAGGTTGTTGCCTGATTCTTTATTAAGCAGACTAAGAAAGGGGGACACCTTGCTTCATAGGTGGACTTGCTCAAAACAAGGCTGTGTCGTCTAATTCCTATGCTTTTATTGCCAAGGATGGGATTTTGAAACTCTGATCAATCAACACACATGGGAACCTGGAAGGCTAAATCTCAATTACTATATCCTCTCCTACCCACTAAAACCCAGCCCACAGTCAATCCTTTCACTTGAAATCATACTGTGAATGTTGCTTTATTATGGCCTGATGTGTTCACCAGCGGCACCACATGGTAGGAGGGAAGGTTGGCATGGCTACCGAATACTTGTTGGTTGAGGGATGGTTCAGAGTGGGTGACGGTTTCCAGTTTTCTGTTAACCCTGTTCTTTAAACAGCACGGCTGCACCTCCCTCTGCCTATCACCCTGCTAATTACATCAGCTCAGAGCTCCCTCCCATCTCCCTTTACACAGACACATATTACGTCCTTGAGGGTCTCAGTGCAAAATACAGGGAAGTCCATTTACAGTAGGTCTAGCATGACAAAATTCGCCACAGTTCAGAAATAATAAATAAAGTACAAATGCAAACAATAGCAGCTTCCTCACAAGTAGCTTATTTTATCTCACAAAGAGCAATGTAAGTTAACAGAAGACCAGATATTCAATGTGTCCCCCTATCCCTATCCTCCTCTCTCAAAGCTCCATTCTCAGCAGGATTTCACCTACTTTTCCCCCTCCCAGCTTTCTGCTCTCACCAAAGGGTCCTAGGGATGGTGCAATACTCACTCCATGCAATTCCCCCACTCTCTGACTCTCCCCCAAACAGCAGTCTTCCCTTCTATATGCCTTTAAGCAGAAAGGGTCAAGCGCCTCTGCACTTTTATGGTTTCTCAATCCACTTTTGCTGCTCTGACTCAGGAGCTGCAGTTATCACAACGCATAGATCTGTTTATGTTCACCCAGCTGGCCCAGCACATTCCAAATTTCCTTGGTATATTATCTTCACAATTCCATGGCAATTCAGCACTGCTACATCAATGGAATGCGACCTTGAAGCCGAACTTGTGGCTTTCTGAGAAACTATGGGAGCCAAAGATATCCACAATAAAAAAAGCGATCATAAGTTACCGAAACCAATAAATTCTGCTTTCTTAATAGCTAATAATAATAATCATAAGCTATTAAGAAAGCAATTTAGGTCTCATCTCACCAAATATGGGGGCACTGTAATGCAGTGGTGAGAACTAAGTCCATTCAAAAACAGATGTGTGTTTATAAAGGGCCCTAGTGCAGTTGGCAGGCAACCACGAAAGAGCCAGCACAAACAAAAGTGTTAATCAGATGCAAGATGTATTAGTTTAAATTCTTACTTTGGCAAAGGCTCTCTGGGTGGCTGAGGACAAGCCAGATTCACAACTAAGGGATGGATGGTACCACAGCACCCAATGAGTCCTGGGCTGAGACAGGATTCTAACAAACATTGCCCACAACCAAATTTAACATTCATTGTGCTGGCTCTTTTCCTGATTGGAAAGACATTAACTACTAATTTGATCTGAACTTAGTGCTTAGAAGTATCATGTCAACTCACACTGTGTCATATTCAGCCAAAGCTGTGGATTCACATACATATTCATACTAGATGACAAGGCGTGATCACAGGAGCAGCACACTTGCACTGCAATTGACACGCTACCACACAGCTATCACACCCTTCATCGCTTCTCCTCTTAGGGACTTCCCTTCCTTCCTTCCTTCCTTCCTTCCTTCCTTCCTTCCTTCCTTTCTTTTTTCATATCAGAATGGCAAAATAAGTGCATATGCAACTCGTAGTTCATATACTCTCAGTATAAAAAGCATGTACAGTCCTCCTGCTCACCAGCATAATTGAAAGGAAACCATGACTCATCTCCATTTTGCAGAAGTAAAATGAAGCTGAGTCCAGTGTCTCTCCTGACGTTTCTCTATAACTTTGGCAGATTATAATACATGGGGTTTCAGATGTGTTTGTGGAAGGGGGGTTATTGGTTTCTTTTTGGGGTTTTTTGTTATGCATTGTGTGCTCTCATTTTGTATATGTACTGTATTTTTCGCTCTATAGGACGCACCCGACCATAGGATGCACCTTGTTTTAGAGGGGGAGAACAAGAAAAAAAATTCTCCCCCTCTCTGCTCAGCGCCCCTTCAGCGAAGCGGCAGGAGAAATGGAGCCCCTTCCATTTCTCCTCCCGCTTGGCTGAAGGGGCGCTGCGCAGCTCTCCCTCTCTGCTGAAGCCAGGAGAGTCTTGCTCTCCCGGCTTCAGTGAAAGGAACCCGAAGCCTCCGGAGTGCAGTGGGAACTCGCGCTGCACTCCGGAGGCTTCAGGTGGCTATCCATGAAGCCTGGAGAGCGAGAGGGGTCGGTGCACACCGACCCCTCTCGCTCTCCAGGCTTCAACGAAAGCAACGCAAAGCCTCCAGAGCGTGGAGGGAGCGCTCCCTCTGCGCTTCGGAGGCTTCGCATTGCTATTGCTGAAGCCAAGGAGCCTGCATTCGCTCCATAGGATGCACACACATTTCCCCTTAATTTTTGGAGGGGGAAAAGTGCGTCTTATAGAGCGAAAAATACGGCATGTTGTAAACAACCCTGTGATCTCTGAATGATAAAAAATAGAAACAAAAAGAAATACATTAGCATAAAAATGAATCCACCTAAGTACAATAATAGGACAGATAAGAGAGCCACACATTATCCACTGTGGAATCCAAGAACATTTCTTACCCAGACAAAACAGCAACATCTTACTTAATACCACACTAATAGCCAAACAGGAATGAATCCTTATTACGAGCAATGGTAGTGGCAATGAATAGGGATTTAAAACACTAACACTGTAGTCATACGTGTAACATATAGGCACAGGACTTGTGGCACAATCCTAGCCATGTTTACTCAGAAGGAAGTATCACTGAACCTACTTCAAAAACAACACTTTGCATCTCTTCATTTAGGTGTGTCAGAGGTTGGGGGACCTAATTCTGCATTGAAAACTACAGGCAAGAACAAGGTACGTAGACCAGAATAATAGAAAGCACTAAAATGTTTGTTCAGAGATATTAAATTAAGATCAAAGAGAAACAATTGTCAACAGTAATAATTTAGGGTTAACACTGCAATCTGAACTCTTCTGAAGCCAGCATAAACAAAAACCGAACTCTGTTTTGGATTCTATGCATTACAGCAAACAAAGAACATAAAGGAGGACAGGAATACCTGAGAATAAACAGGCTGCTACAACTTTTTCCACAGAAAATGTCAAAACATGCTAGATATTCAGAGCAGCATGAAGTGGGTGGCTGTGATGTCCATAAAAACTGACATGGATAGTCAGCTAAGATTTTTTCCAGAACAACTTGGCTCAGCCAGGAGCTGCACAACAGAATTTCCACACTGAGGCTAAGAAAGGGAATTAGGTTGGCTAAGCTCAGAAGCGAAGTCGTCTGCTACTCCTGTTAGCTGTATTATACCTTCATTGCTACTGATAGTACTATTTATGGCTCGCTCACCTTGCAACTGTACAGCCATCCCCACCTGAGCAGAGACAGGCCTTTTACGCAATCCCTAATGTTGATGTTTTCCCTATTCCTTCGGATACAGGAAGAAAGCCAGTGTGGTGGAATGGTTAGAGTGTCAGACAATGACCTGGGAGAACAGGGTTCAAATCCCCACTCAGATATGAAGTTCATTGGGTAGCCTTGAACTAGTTACTATCTCTCAGCCTAACCGACCTCACAGGGTTGTTGTGAGGATAAAATGGAAAGGGGATATATGTCACCTTGAGCTCCTTGAAGGAATAGCTGGTATATAAATTTCACAAACAAACAAATAAAAGAACAGAATTTGGTTCCCTGCCTCCCAAGCCTGACCAGAAAATTTCAGGTCTTAAGATTCTCAGTTCTGAAGTCTTAATTGCCAAGCTTCTTAAACAAATGATCACACTCTTCCTCAAATAGGTGAATAGTAAACAGTGCCCAGTCCTAAGCAGGTTCTAGACAGGCAACGAAAGAAGAGTTGTCTGGCAACTGAAAGATTACCAAGTTCATTGTGGCCCAGGAAAGTTTATGCTGCAGTAACTTAAAGTGCCACAAAACTCTTGTTAGTTTAGGAAAAACAGGAGTTTTGTGTCACCTTAGGTTATTGTAGCATAAACTTTCATGGGCTACAGTGCCAAAGGATTAAAAATAAAGAAATCTGTTGTCTCTGATGCTGCTTAAAAGCTACACTCAGTTGCCTAGCTACTGGTTCCCTGTGGAACAATATTACCACCCACATTCATGGTTACTTCCTGTTATATACATATCTTATCTGTATAAGACGATGGAGCCGAATGGGGAGGGTTAAAAAATAAAATGAAATTCTCGCATGCCACTTTTACCACCAGCTGTCTTAGTTGCTAAGCACAAGATCCCTGCAGCCCACCTCGCCTCTCCCACAGGGATCCGGAGAAGGGGAGGGGAGGAGGGGCGGGGGCGGGAAGAGACGTGACACTGACTCAGCCAGCAACTGGGACTTACCCGAAGGCTGCGCCGGGACATGCTGCCGCGTTTGTGTACACGCCGAGATGACTTTGCCTCCACGCTGCTGGGCAGCCGCTGATCACGCGCAGCCGCCGCCCGCCCATTGGCCAGGGCCTCACACACCTTTGCAGGCGATTGGCCGCGCCTGGCGCCCGCCTTTGCTCGCGCTGCGCTGGGGAGCCGCCACCTGAATGGGGAGCTGCCTGCGAACAAAAAGAGGAAAATAAAGACAGCGACAGGCAGAGAACGCCCGGGGCGGGGAGGGAACTTGTCAACAGCTGCAGCCTCGCTGGTTCAGCATCAGGGCTGCAGCCCGACAGGGGGGTGGGGGAGAGAGAGGAGCCTTCCATCGGGGGTCATGCTGAATTTTGGAGTGTCTCCTTTCCAGCTTGCTGTAAGTAGATCTATCCGTCCATTGCAAGAGTCATTTGGAGCGGTGGAGTGGATTGGGGGGCGGGGACCAAGCTTTCAGCTGGGAAAAAGTGCTTTTGGCGGAGAAGGGAAAGATGCGATTTCTGTTAAGAGATGGAAAAAGAGTATTTGTTCAAAAGGGCAACGCAGAGAGAGATCCGGCCAGCTTGAGGTGTGTCTCGGTCGGAGGCTTTTAAGAAGCGAAAGACCTGTTGGGGAGGAAGGAAATGGGGCTTAGTGGAACCTTTTTTTTTGCAAGGGTGTGTGTGTTGTGAAAACGAATATTTGGTTGATAAACGGGTGCGTGCAGCGAGGTGTAAGGACTGGGGGTGCAGTGCATAAATGTTGCTACGCAACACAATTGGATTATATATCTTTGAGTTTGAAAAGGGCTTTTGGGGAGGGGGGGAGGCGAAGCTCTTGGAAACTGCCTGGAGGGGAGCATGGCTATAGGGGAGCATCTGGTGCGGCCCTCTTTGAGGGGGAACTTTTTGGTATGCGGTCTGATTCTATGGTGAGAATCCTGTATTGCAGCCGGGGGTAGGACTAGATGACCCTCAGGTCCCTTCCAACTCTATGAAAGGCAACTCTTAAAAGTGATTTGAGTGAAAAGGATAAAGCGGGCGGGGGGGGGGGGAGAGAGATTGAAAGAGGCTTAAAGGCGGCCGAGGAAGGACAACTATTGTGGAATTTCCCGGGAAATAAGAGATCGGAAAAAGCTGGTAGAAAGTAACCCCGCGTGTGGAGAGAGATGAGGGAGGTCGGGAAATGAAGAGGCGGCATGTGGCGGCGGAGGAGGCAGGCAGCTCGCTTAGAGAGCCCCAATGCGAGGAAGGGACGAAGCAAAGAAACGAACAGGGCGTGAGTGAGACCAATGTGTGGGTGACGGTGGGCTCGGTGAAGCGGTTTGGGGGGCGCTGGGTGGGTGGGTGGCGGCGCTGAGGGGGCGAGCCCGGCCCCGGGGTGGCTCATGGTATGACTGGAGGAAAGCGGGAAGAGGCCGGGCGAGGGCGAGCCGCATTCCCTGAGCGGGCGAGGCGGGCCTTCCAGAATAAAATAAGGGCGCCGACCGCTCGCCCCACATTCCTCCGGGCGAGGCTCCCGCTTGGCGGTGTGCATTCGCCCCTTTCCTTCCGCCTCATTCTCTAGCAGAGGAGCCTGGGCGGGAACTTCTCCCGCCCCCCATTTGCAGGCGGAAGCCGCTTTCTGTCCCCAGCAGAGCGCGTTGGATTCGGGGGCGCCGCGCTAGGGTAGCGCTGCAGCCTCGAGGGATTGGCTTTTCTGTGTGTGCGCGGCTTCCTGACGCCCATCAGGTTCTAGGAGGAGGAAGCAAACATTCGCCCGGCTGCTGGTGCCTTTGGGGGAGCGGGCCAGGCCTGCCCAAACCCACGCGCAGGAAACGGGGGGTGGGGGCCTCCCAGAAAAAAATGTGCGTTTACAGAAGCCTCATGAACCGGTGGGGTGGAAGGGTTGGGGCGCTGAGTTGAAGGCTCGCCCCCGCGCTGGAGAGACAAGTGGACGAGCATCATCAGCTTTTCCCAGAAGAAGCAGGCGAGATCTCTTCCGGCACGCACAGATGCTCGCCTCTGCTCCTTTCGCCTCGAGGCGTGGGAGGGGGAGAGTGGGCGGGGCCTGCGAGAGCTCGCATTCTAGAACGCGCGGCAAGGAAGTAGGGGAAAGGTCGCCGAGCGGCAATTCCCAGTCCTCGTTCCCCGAGCGCCGAGCAGCAGCCGCTGATCACGCTTTGTTCACATGTCCCCGCCCACTGAGCCTACACTCTCTCTCGGGTGGGGGGGGTAGCGGCCGGCCAATCGTCTCCCGCGGCGCCCGACCATGGCGGCCAATGGGCGGCGGGCAGGGCGGTCCTTCGGGAAAACGAGTGCGTGCTGTTTGGAATGGGCGGGCTGGCTGTGTGAGTCACCGGCGGAGGCTCTCTGAGGTGAACGTGGCTCGGCTCCAAGATCCGGCTGCCGGCGAGGATCTCACTGCCCCCGCCTTCCTTAGGCCTTGTAGTCGCCGAGCGGCGGCGGCGGATGTAGCCATTCCCTTTTCGGCCCTCTGCGCCTATATGCCGGTCTTGCAGCGCGCGCTTCGAGGCGTGCCTTATGGTGCAGGGGTTGCCGCCGAAAACAGGCATTGGCGGGTTGGCCAACTTCATGGGAAAGAAATCTTATGCACGGGGCTCTAATAAAGGCGGGTAAAAGTGTTGCACATAAATTCAAAACGCATCCTTCAGACCTCTGGCTGGGCGCAACGGAAAAGTGCTTTTTTCCCGCACGCAGGAAACGAGCAAGGAATTGGAGGGATGGGGTGGCTTTTTTGGGGGGCAGCAAGTTGTTCACAGGAATCCCTAAGCCACAACTTAAGGGCCCTCGCCTGGACCACCTCAGGGATAGCCAAGCTGAAGCCCTACAGAAACAGGACTTGGTTTTAATTCCCATGTGTAGGCCACACGTTTTGAGAGAAGCACATGTCCCTTGTTGTGTTAGTAATGGAATGATTTAGCACAAAGCAAATATTTAAAAACACAAGGCTATGTCCCTAGCTTGTCTAAAACACAATAGTAGCAATAAAGGAACCTTTAAGGTTGAAGTCAGTGCATGTTTGCCTGGGGGTATGTGCCACCAAACTCCAGTGACAAATGACTTTCTGAGCATGCTTGTATAGGATTGTGCTTTGGAATAGCAAAGGCACACCATAAAAATAATGAAATAGGAGTGTAGTAATGAGTATCCCTGTCACACAGGAGACCAAGGTTCGGTTCCCTGATGGGAAAACTGTCAGTTTTTGATACTTGTTTTAACACTTGAGATTGCTTGGTTGCTGGGGCATGAGACTCTTAATCTCAGGGTCATGGGTTCATGCCCCATGTTGGGTGCAGGAGGTTGGAACTAGATTATGCTTGTGGTCCCTTCCAACTACAGTTCTGGGAAAACTGCATAGGACATCACATAGGTGTCTATAGAATGATCTGGGAAACATTTTAAGTGTTTCTACATAACCTTGCAGACTGATCTGAATCCGATTGGACTGAAGTACTTTGACATAAACTGTTTTGATCTAATGAGATACATTGGTTTAACTATAACCATTTAAGCTTAATTGTTTGTGGACTGAGTTTCATTGAGGTCAATAAGATTTCATTACCCTTGGCTGATTACGGTTTTCATGGTATCCAACCTAGGAATAAATAATCCATTCAAAGGAGGGGTATAGGAAAAAGGAGAGGCTCTTAAAAACACTGGAGTTACTACATATAATCTGGTTTTTTAAAATATTTGATGAACATATAAGCTTATATTTGCTGCTTGATACTGAAAAGCATCCTCTCTTTTTCATAGCAGGAAGGAATGGAGGTGATAACTGAAAAGCGGCACATTAGGAGTGATTTTGAAGCAGTAGAAGCTTTAATGTCCATGAGCTGCAGTTGGAAATCGGACTTCAAGAAGTACGTTGAACTGAGACCAATAACACCAGCATCAGATACATCTGAAGAAATTGAGGACAACCTGCTACCTGCTACTGACTTTCAAATATCAGCCTTTGTAAGCTTTATTCAATTATTATAAATTTCTTATTTACAACTAAGTCCTATGCATGCTCCTTCAGAAGGAAATTTACTCCATTTATTGGCATTTGCTCTGAAGTAAGCATGTGTAGAATTGCATCTTGAAGTTCATAGATCATGCTAATTAGTTGTGCTGCGTAGAGAGCTAATTGCACCATGTTTTTATTCTTTCAGTGCTTGACTCCGCCCTACAGCCCTTCTGACCTTGAAATGGCTCAGGCAGTCCATCCCATTGCACCAGCGCCACCTACTGTAAAGAGCAAGTCACTTGTTGACACTTCTGAGCAGGGCACTCCAACAGCTTTTAAGAAGACTGAAAAAGTTTCAGAATCGAGAGTGCTGAAAGCACAGGCGACAAGTGTCATTCGCCATACAGCCGATGCTCAGCTTTGCAGTCACAGAACCTGTCCAGCAAGAACAGACAGCATTTTGAGGTGTCGGGATGATTACACAAGGGAAGCAAGGCAAGAAGGCAATGCAAAAGTGAAACAAAATCCATCTTGTGAAAGCGTGTCACTGGCTGCTGCAGTGTCTGAAGATAAGCGGCCTGATGTGAAAGAAGAAAAACATTCAGTGTTGGCAGTCAGTCCAGTGCCTTTCATGCAGACCACACTCAGTAGTCCTCTGCCTGTGTCTGGTTCAGCACAACGCTCTTCCCTGGTAGTTCCCACATCTCCTGCGCAAGCAGGGGGAGTCCCTCCTGTGCCATTGGTTTGCCAGATGGTTCCGCTGTCTGCTAACAACTCTGTTGTGACAGCAGTAGTACCCAACACTCCCTGCAGTCAGTTGTCACCAAACCTTTGTCAGCCTATGGTGTTCATGGGAGCCCAAGTTCCCAAAGGAGCTGTTATGTTTGTTGTTCCGCAGACTGTTGTTCAGAATCCAAAAGCACCTGTGATCAGTCCCAATGGCACCAGGCTCTCACCTATCGCTCCTGCTCCAGGTTTTGCTCCTGCTGCAACAAAGATCACTCCGTCCATTGACTCTTTAAGAATAAGAAGCCATGTGTGCAGCTATCCAGGATGTGGAAAAACATATTTCAAGAGTTCCCATTTGAAAGCACATGTTAGAACACACACAGGTAAATTTTGCTTGAGAAGTTG